CAAATTGAAGGTGTTATCGAGGACCTTGACCTATAAAAAACAGTCAAGCATCCAATAGATTTGATATGAGCATGTTTGAACCTACATTCTTTTGTCTTTATTCTTGACAGTCAGAAGTAAACCAAGACTTTTTATGGATTCTTACACAATATGTCATTCTCCATGGCTGCTATAGAACTTCTGAATGCCACGGATAGTTGAAATTCATCACTTAGAAAATGTTTAACTGATGTCGCACAGAGTGCTGCATATTCAACAATTGGAGGCTCTCCGGGGTATAATCACTGATATAATTAGTGACTGTGATGTCGAAATATAATTCGTTAGCTCAGCTGAAATCCAACTATATCAGTGAATATGCTGGAAATGAGAGGGAGTAGATTATTGAAAAAATTGAGTAATATCATTTGTGACGGGAAGCTTTCTGCAGTTAAATTGTCAGTTGCCCGAAAATTCTCGAAAGCTCTAAAACCGGTGTTTTCCAGGGACTAAGAAGCAAAACAAAGTAAGTCCATAGAAGGACTGATTTTTGGTAGATGCAGTAATGTTAAGTACGATGTTGCAATAATGTCAGAAACACGGACACAATATAAAAATCAACCACAAACTCCTATAATCGTCTTCTTTCACCAGATGTTCTTCTGTATACCTTTAGAATAAAAACTGAAACAGTAGCTGAAATAGCGGTTGACATTCCCCCCAACAATGAACAACTCCGTTGACATCGGCCTGGCAGAAGCAGGAAACAGACGGTGCTGTTTTATCTTGAACCGGGGCAATTTCCTTTTAAAACTGAGATGGATATAAAGTCTGTCATGAAACACTCTATTTATAATATTTCCGGGCTATATAAACATTACGAGTCCCAGGTATCCTGAGAGCAACATACACCTCTGGCAGAATATGTCCACTTCATTTCGTAGTCTGCAGACTTATTTAGTTGGCCCCCCATATGTTTTTATTTCCACCACATTTTGCCTCCATACCACTCTCAAGCTGATACCCAAACGATCAAAGCGCATTGGATATCCACTAAGGGGATTAACATGCGACGTCCCAGGCGTATCTCAAATCCACCTCCGTTTCCTTCCACACTTTGTTTGAGCAATAAGTTCTTAGTTGGCTCGTTGACAGTTCCACCTCTTTCAATCTCTTATACCGACCATCTGGTCTTCAGCATGGGGTGAACGTAGCTGCTAACATAAATCCACAGTAGTCCGTCGGAGATGTTTTCACGTCGTGCCGAGCCTCTGAACAATATGGAAACCCCGACTTGACACTGGTGTGTAGAGCCAGGTCTTTTTTCCAATCCCGAGTGCAGAAAATTCCGACAATAGTTTCAGGTTAATGAAGTTACATCCTGCTTTCATGATCCTGTATGGCCCTGACATTCACGTCCGTGAAGACTGTGGATGCTAAGTTCTGCTGTTTCTGCTTCTCCTGTCAACTTTTTTGGTTTTCATCTGTAGCTGCCTGAGTTTGTGTGACATTAGACGCAAACAGTCCGCGAAATCTGAGTCTTCTAAAAGTCTTTTTATCGACACAACCTACGAGGGACTTCTTGCGTCCCACAGTCTATAGCATGATATAGCTGACTATTATCAGGAATATTATCGATGATAGTAGACATCATTTGTCGTCACCTCGAAAACTTCTCTGAGTTTTCTGCTTTGAATCACTTGTCAAGTGACAAAACCATATGGCCGTTGAGTGACGTTTATGAAGGTTTGCCTACCGTAGACCGTAATGTTTAGACAACTGTCCGATTACTTCAGTAGGCCTATCAAAAGCTGGAGAAGGTAAGGTAAATATTTGCCTTGTTTGATGATTGTGTTTAATGCCACGACTCGATCCGCTCATGATAGGATTTACCTGAATCTAACTTGTTGCAGGCAGAGTTTCACATATAGATCTTCTTTCATTCTCTCCTATTTTGCTGCTGGTGCATAAATGCATGATTCCACTTTAGTTACTCTGCAGTTTAAGCCACCTTTCTTCGACATTTGTGCAAGGTAGCCTTCAATCGTGTCTACAGTTACCTTTCTTTTCGCCCAATCCTACTGCAGTATTGGTGTAAGCATATTCACCGATTTCTGTGGGTCCATTTTCAATGTTTCTGGTTGTACCCTACTTAGTCCTGGTGCTTTCCTGGCTTTGTGTGGTTTTCAAGATTGATAATTTTTCTGTGTGTGTTCACCAGGAGTCTCTTTATCTGTTGGTAACCTGTAAGCGAATGTCGGTATGTAAGACCAGTACAGTGTTTCCTTTGCTGCACCCCAATGGTGATTGGGTCTACATAATATATATAAATGTTTTCAGTTGCGTCTTACGTGCAATCTGTTTTGGTTCAGCAATCATTGTGTCACCAAATTATTAATAATATCGAAAACTACAGACCCATCACATGCGAACAAGTAACTTATTATGACTATGGAAACACTCGTCTTATTTCCCATCTAACTGTAATTGACCAATAACACTCATATTATTATTTCTGAATGTACATTATCTCATATTGAGTTTTATTCCAATATCTAATCGATTTCACACATGTATATAAATGCGGGAAAGAATTTATGTGAGTAACTTGATGTGATTATGAGCAATAGTTTATGCTCGAAACGTCATCAGTTAATATTACTGTACAAACTAAAGATAAAATGACAGCAACCATGTTATTTAACCGTATATCATGTAATTTAAATATGTAACTTAAATAATACTTATCCATGCCTATACAACTTGTGTATCCTACATTTGTAGGAATAAATATGTACCTTATTATATTATCATTACTAACTATACTTACTAATCGTATGTGTAATTTATCGAATTGATGATGCCTGTAAACTGGCGTCCCTCATGTACAAAAATGAGAATATATTATTATTATTAACAATGTGTGATTTATCAAAATAAAATATTATCCATAATGGAGTTATGCTCTACCACAGTGCCCAAGTTTTATACTTATATCAGTAGTTTCCAGGGTTATGGAACAACTCATTGGGCGAGATATTGCTTCATACTTCCACCTTCACAAAGTGTTTACTCCAGCACAACACGGTTTCGTGAAAAGTTGATCATGCTCCACCTGCCTACTTGACTACTTTGATGATGTTACTGCTAAGCGTGATCATGGTTTGCTTGCCACAACCCTCTTCTTTAACTTAAGAAACGCCTTTGATAAAGTCCCACACAAGACTAATTCTTCACCTAAAGTCGTACGGGTTCCAGGGACCCTTGTCATCCTGGCTCAATTATTTCTTGGAAGGCCGTTCCCAAGTTGTGAAATTCGCAAATAATTACTCGTCACTCAGACCTATACGAAGTGGAATGATTCAGGGTGTTCTACTAGGTCCACTGCTTTTCGTGATTTGCATTAACGACGTCTGCAGCGGAATCAAGCATGTAACCCCATACCTCTTTGCCGATGACTTAAAGATTGTATACAGCTTCCAGTATTCTACTCTGTACGAGGGATTCACACATATTCAAGATGATCTGGATAGGTTACATAACTGCAGCAATGACTGGCAACTGCCATTCAATTCTGATAAATGTGGTTTCCTATACTTCAGTCACTCCCATCCAAATTTCAGGTAACACCTAGGTGGCTCTTTTCATCAAACCCTCAATTCCATAAAAGACCTGATAGTTACATACTCACAAAGATTAACATTCAGTCAGTACGCAAAATCAGTTGCTTCTAAATGCAGAAGACTCATAGGCTTGTTACACCGAAAAATGTACACAACTGAGGCTAAAGTCCTTCTATACAAAGTCATGGTTCTTCCAGTGCTTGAACACTGCACAATTGTCTTCGGTTTCATGCATGGGTATGATAGGGTTCGTATTGAAAATATTCAGCGAAGTTTTACATGACGCCTATTACACAAACATGAAGGACTGACTTATGCGGATAGGTTCAAAAAATATGGACTTCAGCCACTTTGGTTAAGGCGCCTGAAACTCAACCTATTACTCCGCTTTCGTCTTTTACACGGCTGCATCAAAAGCTGTGATCCAATAGCCTTCAACCATATATGCTCTTGAAAGTAATAAAAATACACTAACCATAACCTGTTCGAGACAAAACTGCATTCACGTTTCTTCAAAATACAGTACAGTGCATTATGAAACGAACTTCCACTTCCACGATCTCCAAATGAATTCCAACGTCTCCTTAATGAGCTCCTGTCAACAAAAGTGCTTCGGTCTACTTATCCATACTGTACCCATATAGGCTGTTCAACTGACATTAGTACTACAGACCCCAGTGAAATAACCCCAATTCGAGGAAACTCATTTGCTCCAGCCACTGTACCGCATCTAAAACGTGATAAAACCAGCCCAATCTTTCCAACATTGATTGACCCAAGGTTCAGTTATTTAGCTTATTAGAGCATCTAACAATATTTCATCAATGGAGTTTAAAAAGTCATAATAATATCTATAATCATCCTAGACGTTTAATCCCAAATTAGTTGTAACAGTTTTTCCATAAAATAAGCAAACAAGTACTTTGCTTCTTAGTCTCTGGAAAACACCGGTTTTAGAGCTTTCGAGAATTTTTGGGCAACTGACAATTTAACTGCAGAAAGCTTCCCGTCACAAATGATATTACTCAATTTTTTCAATAATCTACTCCCTCTCATTTCCAGCATATTCACTGATATAGTTGGATTTCAGCTGAGCTAACGAATTATATTTCGACATCACAGTCACTAATTATATCAGTGATTATACCCCGGAGAGCCTCCAATTGTTGAATATGCAGCACTCTGTGCGACATCAGTTAAACATTTTCTAAGTGATGAATTTCAACTATCCGTGGCATTCAGAAGTTCTATAGCAGCCATGGAGAATGACATATTGTGTAAGAATCCATAAAAAGTCTTGGTTTACTTCTGACTGTCAAGAATAAAGACAAAAGAATGTAGGTTCAAACATGCTCATATCAAATCTATTGGATGCTTGACTGTTTTTTATAGGTCAAGGTCCTCGATAACACCTTCAATTTGTATGGTGACATTTTAAAATATAGCCTTGAACATTCCAATGAAGAGGAAAGATTTGGAAAGACTTTTGAGTGGATCAACTAACACAGAGCCTGTTATTAATCTAAAGAGCTCAAATAGTAATATTCATGAAAGATCAGCTGATAAAGTGAGTAGTGAACGCATGTCCCAAATTTGAGTTCAGTTTCCATTCAAATTAAAAAATACTACTCTGCTTTATGAATGCCTTTTTAAATACTGTCAAGCATATAAATGCATAATAATGAATGGCAATCAAGAATATGATTGATTAAACCCTATTTTTAAAATATTAACCGTGGCTTCCGTGGAGATATTCGTAGATATCGAAAGTTTATAGTTCCAAAAGCATGCTATATTCCTCCGGTTCAATATTTGTAACTTTTAAAGAACGGACTGCTTATTTTCAGATTCACTTGCAATTTTGTAATCTCTAGTAAGAAGCAGTTTTGTAGAGGAATTTGTTACAACATTGTCTTCACATTGCAAAGCTTGATGATCTAGAAATTATATGCATATATATATGCATATATATATATATGGGTGTTGTCAAATTAAGATGCATGTCTGGATATTGAAGAACTATGCAAGAGCAACGGAACATGACATTAAGGCTTGCCAAATGTTGATCTGATGCCCTCACCTCAACAAGTCTCCAAAAGAAAAAATATATTTGGTGCAGTTGTACGCAGTAGTCGATAATGGTGCTGTAATGAAAACGAGCAAAACAAAAGCAAAAAGTCTGTTAAAAGCTCTAGGAAACTTTTACTAGTGATATATTTACGGGTATTTAGTCTCAAAATCGACGTGTTTTTTCTGATTTTTAGTTCAAAGGTTTTAATTCCCTTAAATTAGTATATAAAATTAAGTTAAAAAGTTAATAATTGAGTAAGACTAAATGCAATCTTTTCACTTTCATCAAATGGCTCTTAACACTGGTGGCCTGCGATAAATTTAATTATTTTCTGTTTGTGAATGCTGTCCTATATGTTTACTGCTAAAAGGAAGGATCCTAGTTTCTCCAGTTATTCCACTTTTCATGATTCGTCTCAGATTTTCGACACTGATGCACGATATAGTCAACAGTATAAGAAAAATGCTACTAATAATAATTCGACTAAATACTGCATTTTTCACAACAGAATTTAGAAAGATGGAAAATAAACCATCAGAAATGTTGGTAACGGTAAATAAAATATTGCTCAGTGAATGAATATAACTTAATACCAAGCGACATTTTTGTGTTAAACAGTATCGATCACCATGGAAGAGTAACATTCTTCATGACATCCACAAAGTTATAGAAACACACATTGGATTCATCGTAAGGAAGAATACATCTATTTGATTTTAGAGAAATAGATATGTTGAAAAGGAGCATTGTCCAAACAGTAAGAATTTTGCTTCGCTAAACATAAATCTCTTTAATTTTTAGTGGATTTATTCTTTAAAAGTAGTCTAAAGACACATCACACCAAGAAGAAAAGGTATTTTAGAGATTGAAGGTATCGACGTTCGCGAGTTGTACGGATTATACTAACGCAAGATCTTATACCAACAACCACTATAGTGTTCGTTCTTCGAGTACCAAATGGTAAAGCAAAAGACCAGATTTTGTCGTCCAAATACGATATATATTTTGGGACCAAATCGCGGGTAGGAATGAATGCTTAGCTAGCTAGTAATCGTGCACGCACGTGACACGACGAAGAGCACCAAATGGCGGGGATGCTTGACCGTAAGCCTTCAGCTAAACAAGTCGACTTAAACAGTGATGGTCAGCATCCAATGTTGAGTGATGATTGCTGTGGTCAATAATTTTGGGGAATTATTTACCGCTACAGCTCACTCCCCCCCTAGTGGGTTCGTGAGGACCCTAAGACATGACCAGCCGGAAGTAAAAAAATCTCGATGGTTCCCTGATGGGTGAAAAAAATCTTCCGAGCGGCTTGATCGAGAGCCTGCTGGTCTGTCTGCCTATGCTAATAGGGTGTCTGTACATAGCTTCCTCAGTGTTGTTCGTTGGATCCCGTGCTTCGTTTGTTTCCTGTCCAGTGCCCGTTGCACCTGGAAAAGAAAACAAGAATGCTGAGAACCTTGTCAAGAAAAATGTACCAAATAAGCGTTTTCTTTTACCAAAAAAATATGACATGCATCTACTATACAGTAAAATAATGTAAAGTTCAAAATTTCGGGGAAAAAAATATACATCTTATATAATTTTATGTACGGTTATAGGAAAAATATCATTTACTTGTGTTAAATGACGCAACATAAAAAAAATTGATGTGTCACTCAGTTATGTGAGATAGGTGTGAAGGTATTCTGGGAATCTAACGTGACGTCCAGAACGCGTTTTTTTAGAGTGATCGACAGAAGTAGCCAGTGGGCGAATGCCCTGACAGTCAATAGTGTGACCCAGAAAATCGAGTGAGTCAACGCCTATCTGACACTTCTGTATATTGATGGTAACACCATGTTGGCGTAACCTTTCAAATGCCAAGTCCAAGTGTCTAAGGTGAGTTTCCTTATCTGGACTGGCAATGAGGCAGTCGTCTAAGTATGCGTATACAAAGTCGAGACCGCGAAATACTTCGTTGATGAAGCGTTGGAATGTTTGGGCCGCATTCCGGAGGCCGAATGGCATACGTAGAAATTCGAAAAGTCCGAAAGGCGTGATGATAGCCGTTTTCGGAATATCTTCCGTTGCCATCGGGATTTGGTTATATGCTTTAACCAAGTCGATTTTGGAGAATATAGATGCTCCAGATAACGTTGCCGTCAAGTCGGGTATGTGAGGCAAAGGGTAGCAATCAGGAGTTGTTTTGGCGTTCACTCGCCGGTAATCACCAGTGGGTCGCCAATCGTTGCTATCCTTTTTCGGTACCATATGCAACGGGGATGCCCATGGACTATTCGATGGCCGAATGATGCCAAGGGTGAGCATATGATCGAATTCGTTTCTGGCAATTCTCAGTTTGTCAGGGGCCAGTCGTCGTGCTTTAGATGTCACGGGCTGTCCTGAGGTTATGATATGGTGCATAACGTTGCTGGTTATGCACGGAAGATCGTTAGATGGGCAATTCAGTTCCGGATATTTGTCAACAATCGGTTGAAAAGTTGGATCGAGGATTGCTTTCATCTTAACGATTGACAAGCTGGGGCCACTGTAAGTTATGCCTTTGATAGACAAACTAGTAGTGTTGTCAATTAATCGTTTACGGCGGACGTCTACGAGCAAATCATGATGATTAAGTAGGTCCGTGCCGATGATGGGCATTGTGACGTCAGCGATTAGAAAAATCCACCGAATAGGTTTGCGTAAACCTACGTTCAGATAGACGTATTTCCGACCATAGGTTGCAATTGGTTTTCCATTTGCAGCCTGTAGGTTGAAGTTAGGATCCTTCTGTCGATCTGCTGCTGTAGCAGGAAGGACGCTGACTTCGGCGCCTGTGTCGACTAGATATCTAGTCTGGCTCATTACATCATGGATGTAAAGTAAGCGGCTAGTGCCACCGGCGACGGTTGCCGCTAACGCGTGCCGGCGGGATAGTTTCCCACAGACTTGGAGGCTTTGTCGAAATCACAAGGTTTTCGACAACATTTTGCTTCCTTGCCATAGGTGTTGTGATACCAACACCAGTCAGGATTTTTGAGAGAACGTGTGTTGGACTTAGATCGTCCACGTACGTTTAGCCGTTGAGGGGATCTAGAACGACGGTTTGAGGAATTGCTAGGCTTGTTTGACCTAAGCATCTGCTGGACGGAGTTGATTAACTCTATCATTGCAGAATCCTTCTTCGAAGTCTGTTCGGTAACAGAGTATACTTCGGTGACTGGCCGTTTCGTTATCTCTAGAATTCTATCTGCAGAGACAGCTAAATCATCTATGAGAACACCCTGAAGTGTCACAAGTACAGTCTGAACTGACTGTGGCAGTTTGGATAAAAATAGTTCTCTAAACAGTCCTTCATCGAACTGACTTTGGCCAATGATCTCTTTCATTCTTGCCAGCATGCTCACGGCTGACTGATCTCCTAACTCTATGTTACGAAATAACTCATCCAGACGTTGTCGATCTGTGAGAACGTTTCTCTTAAGGATGGATCCTTTGAGCAACTCGTACGAGTTACTTACCGACATCTGCAGAGTTACGCACCTGCTGAATTCCCGCGGTAGGGCGTGAATAACTGCAAGGAACTGTGAACGTTGATCAGTTATGCCATGTTCACAAAAATCAGACTCAGCAATCTGAAACCATGTTTCAGCATTATCTGGCCAAAATGGTACTAGCTGTATTGTTTTGGTGGTTGAGCGAATCTGAATAACCTTGGGGCTAGGATCACTCATGACGAAAAGTATACCGATAACAATATAGTACAAGAATAAACACAAAAAGGAACGAACTCACCGGGTTTATCTGCGTGTGAATTGAAGATGAAGTTCGAGGTTGGGCTCACCAGTTTAGGTGGTTACAGGTTGTCGGGCTCACCAGTTTAGGTGAGTGACGGTATCGACGTTCGCGAGTTGTACGGATTATACTAACGCAAGATCTTATACCAACAACCACTATAGTGTTCGTTCTTCGAGTACCAAATGGTAAAGCAAAAGACCAGATTTTGTCGTCCAAATACGATATATATTTTGGGACCAAATCGCGGGTAGGAATGAATGCTTAGCTAGCTAGTAATCGTGCACGCACGTGACACGACGAAGAGCACCAAATGGCGGGGATGCTTGACCGTAAGCCTTCAGCTAAACAAGTCGACTTAAACAGTGATGGTCAGCATCCAATGTTGAGTGATGATTGCTGTGGTCAATAATTTTGGGGAATTATTTACCGCTACAGTATCAAGAAAATTAAGGATAAAGACGTAATCAATTAGTAATCGAGGTGATATTTATTTTAAGTGAGAAATATAATATGCTTAGCATCACGCAGAATGTTGTCGTACTAGGTCATATTAGACAAAATATATCTGTGCTTCGTGTATTATTTATGCGACAGACACTGTTGCTCTTTCTAGGAGACTGAATGAGAATAAATAAATGCATGACAAGATTTTAATAAAACTGTTTATATCTATAAAATAGAGTTATTTAAAGGATTATACATGAATGTGTTAAGTTAGTGTAAACTGTTTGAGTGTTTTATAAGGTAACCGAGAACGTATTTAAGGCAGTAAAAGATATACAGTTTCATTAATAATATTAGTATCAAAATACTTTCTGAGTTTCATCAGTGACTTAAACACTAAGTGAGCAGTCCGACTAGCGAAGAGTATTTGTTGATCAAGGGGTTTTCATAAAATATGTTCTTAATCGCAACATTGTAGTACTGGTATCTTTAAAATTATCTGGCATGTTGTAGGAACAAGGTAAATTAGAGTACTAAAATATCATTCCGAATTTCAGACAAAATTAGTTGGATGTTGCCTATTCATTTTACGGAGTCTTTTGGAGGGCTAGAATTAGGATTTGGAAACTCTTAGTTAGATGGCTTAAAGTCATTTCTAATGACACAAATATGTTCCCCATTTATCTTACAGATTTTCAGAATGCTCTCTATGATTCATTTAAATAATTTCCTTGTCATCACCATGCGTGCACCTTGTGGTATTATTTTAGTTTTAAAGCTTTCATGCTTTCTCAAGAGTAAAAACTTAAACTGATGCACTTATATGAAGAGTTCCGTCATGACCTGTAAGTCATTTGGTCATGGGATTTGTCGACGTTAATCAAGCTTGAATACTGATGGCTATCACTGGCACACATAAATCATTAGAGGATAACAGAGCGTTACATATATGATGTAACAGTACAGAATATCCCATTAGGATACTTGATGAATATAACTTAGTAGCATAGGTTCACTTGACATTTTGGACAGATATGCTGTAGATTTCCCTGTCATTTTGAAATTTCTGGGACACAATCTGTTCACTTCCTGTTTCCAAGGTTATACTGGACAAATTACTCATAAAATCAATGATTTTTGTTTAAAGACACGTCAAACCTATAAAGAAACAAATTACCGGTGCAACTGTTATTCTGTGAGAGTTTTATGGTGTTATAAGCACAGATTATCATCACTGAATGTGTAGATTAATTTTCCGGTCACAGTACAAGGAGAAAAATCCCACCAGGGAACTGATATCCGACAGCAAGTATACTCACCTGTTATATTAAATTCTTTGCTATGTGTTCATGCCTAGGAAACTCAAAATGAGAACATCAAGGTAATGATTCTTTCTCCAAGTAAAGAAAAATTGAAAGGCCAAAGAAAGCTTAGGAGAATATTTAAACAGGATTGACGGAATAATGCACATCAAAAAGGAGATTAACACAACTTTATTTATCAGAAATATCAGTAACCGTCTGAAATTTATTGTTCCATTAATAGATATTCACCTATAAAATACTTTTCCCAATGGTAATCCGAAATTCTTCTTGCCCAACTTGGAGAAGTATCTTCCCTCATGTTTACTCAGTGTGAATGGTATACTTCAGTTCATTTAAAAACATTTGATGCTTGTAAAATCGTTTAATAAACTCTATAGATACTGGTTCATGCAATGCAGTACAAATGACAAGAAACAGTTTTTGACAGTGATTACTAATATAAAGGGAATGTGGTTTGTCTTTGTTTAGCGAACTCAAACCACGTTTTGAGAAATTTTCGCTGAAACTGACTTGGTAATTATAACCACCTTTATCAAGTTAAGGGTTTGGAGTACAGTTATAAGTTAAGCAAGTAGATGGTGAACATCACAGCTGTTCAAAATGTAGCTTGAACATACAATCATTGAATGGTAAAAATCAATGTTACCCAAAAAGTATACCCAGGGAAATAGAGATGGATTAGATGTAAACTGAGAAGACATTCAAGTGACATTGCTCACTAGACAGGCCCCCAGATGGAACCCCTATGACAAGCGACGAGTTGGGGTTTGTAGGGTTACATGAAAAAATCACGTGAGGAGGAATCTAAACCTTTCGGGAGATGGTGGAGCAATTTGGTTGGGATTCCAGAAACATGTGCCTCTGAAGCCCTACGTTCTAACAGGGACTCAAGGAAAGTTTATATTTTTGTAGCGGGGATAAAATCCTTTGATTCAAAAATACAAAAAAGCCAGATCGCTCATTTCTAAATAATTAAGGCGAAAAATATTTTGTCATATATTTTTATTGGCTTCATTATTCAAACATATAGTAATCTGGCACATAATTTGGATAGGGAAATCTTCTTCAAGAACTTACAGGCTTTTCACCTGATTCAATCACACTATCATACCCGAAATAGTTATAAACTTAAAGGAAAGGTAATGGTATTTGTTCCACTGGTGACAAAGCGATAGAGGAGCTGTCAGAAAAATGTGTCTTTTACAATTTTATGAGTACTTAATTATTGAAATCATGATTTACTATGACAGGTGGATATATTTCTTTTTTAGTTGACTGTGTCCTTTTATTATCTAATGATATGAGTAATCCTGTCCCTTTTAAATTTTTTGGCTGAAACCAATTTAATATTTAACCATATAGTTCCTGTTAGTTAATTAGATAGTTCACTTAATAAGACTGTAGGTAAGAGAAGAAAGGTCTGTGAATTTATCGCTTTATCTTATCTCAGTGGACTTATTTGGCTTGTTGGGCAGTACCGTTTGATATAATGATAACTTTACTCAGTAATTTTAAATCTTTTCTGGAACACTTTCCTTTTCATAAATGAACAGCGTTTTAATCAATTCACTAAAGCAGGTGATTCTTGACACTGTTTTCAGCTGCATTTTGTAGGGTTTTTAGATCAGCGTTCGCATTTATATAAACTGTTGCTGAAATATTCAACAGTACAGAATGTCCAGAACTTTTATCAACATAATTTAACGGCCAAATGATAACTGCCACATGTCGATCGATTCGTAATGTAAAATTCGAAGAAGTCGTTGAAGTGAAGACAGAAGCAAAATAATGTTGTCTACGAATTCCTGTTGTATTCATGATTATGGTGGAGTGGATCATGCAGAAGACTTTGAGTGGGAACGGGAAGACAGAAATATGTTAGACTGATAAGAAGAGTCTGGAAGATCTGAACTCCTCGGACGATTTATGTTTAGTGTCACGCAAATTTGAAGAGTTACAGGCGAGAACCATTAAGTTGACAGAAGAAGAAGCAAAGATGGGACTTCAAGTAAACATAGAGAAGATGGAGGTGATGAAGATAATCAACCAACCAACAAACCATCAGCTGTACAAATTTCAAGGAAGTCACTACTTCCATTTATCTAGGCAGCACCCTTTCAACCACAGACATCACGGATGAGGGTTTCAAAGTCAGAAACCGATTGGGAAAGTAATATAAACCTTCATTACTACGAAATCGGTGTGTAGTACAAGGAATAAGGTGCCCATGTTTCAACATTAATGTCAAGTCAGTTCTTCTTTGCGGTTCGGAGACTTTTTATGTCACCGAAAACACTTCCTACAAGCTAACATAGAATTTAATGAATACCTGTCTTTGGTGGCTCTATAGTGAAGATTAGATGATCAGCTGAAATGGAAAAGCAGCGAGGAACTCTGTTTGGTTGCGAACCAGCCAAGAATCTACTGCCTTACAAATATGCAGAAGGAAGTGGACATGGATCTGAAATACGCTGAAGAAACCGTTGGCTGATATCACGTACCAAGCCATCGAGTAGAGCCCCAATGAGAAACGGTGAGTTGGGTGATATGCAAAAGATATTGTAAGAAGGAGATGAGAGCTTTTGGCGGATTAAAGAGCCAACTAAAAAAGATTTCAGAGAAGATGAAAAAATGGAGATGTGCTGTCAAAACCATATGTTCTAGTAGCAAGCCTAGGGAACAATAATAACAGTAATTGGTGTAGTAAGTGATTACTTTTCTTCTTTAACACTAAGTAGTCTAAATTTTGTAAATGTTCTATAAATTTGTCGATAATTACGATATTTCTTTTATTTTAGAGATATCGTCACCACCAAAATACTGGGAGTACGACACATGATGTTTCTGACAGAATGAACGCTGAAGTAAAACATGGACGAGTAAATGAATCCAAAGGTAATGAAAATAGCAAATATCATCGCAAAAATTTACACAATATTGAAAATTTGTCTGCTGATATAAATCCTACGTCAAATTTCAATCCATCTTTACATGAACCAGAAGCTTATAGTCATAGGACATCTAATTTATCCACATGGATTCCTAATTTAGGTCATCCATACTTTGTACCATCTCGTTCTAAATCAGAACAAATCCTACCTCAGCCTAACTTTCAAGTGAAACGAGATAAATCTGATCAATATTTATCGGATGATTCACAGGATAATCGATTGTACTCATCAAACATTGTGTCACCTATACAGTGTTCGCCTAGAGTTAATAAACATTATGATGATCATCAAATGTTTAATCCATGTATGGTAAAGCCTGAACTATTAGATGAAGAACAATGTCGAGTTTACCAACCAAATATAAATATAAACTCATATGAGCCATTTGAAAATCAAGTGAATGCTCAGTTAGCAAGGTTAAGTATGCTTCATGCACAACAGTTAAATATTCAAGTTCTTTTGGAACAAGAGTGGTTGAAATTACACAAGGTTTGTGAATTATTTACCTGTATGCATTTTGATCATTTTCGTAAATTTGAAAACTGATTAGCTTTTCAAATGTTTAGTGAATGTATATTAATCAATTACAGATTATTCTTATATTATGAATACAGTCAAAGAAAAAGACATCTTTTGTAGAAATTGTCAGCATTTTTCCCAAAGTATACCCTTCTTATGCCCATCGGTGGTTCAGTGGCAGAATGCTCGTTAAACTTGGAAATGGTTGGGGGTTCGATTCCCATCCGATGCACTCCTAAACCCTGCTTAGCCAGAAGTAACCTCGGTAAAGCGGAAAGGTTTGGAGTGAGGCTAGAAAACCTACTCAGTAACAAAAGTAAAAACCGCTGCTACTGAAACTTCAAAGCCCAAGGTTGAAGCCTTTATGTTCCATTGCAAATTTTTAGGAATAAAAAATGTACCCTTCTTATATTCATCTCATAGGAGAAAACATTTCCATGAAGGTTCCAGATACATCTTACTGCCGAGCACCATACAGCACGAGTCCTGGACACAGGCCTTCCCACTAAATGCCCATAACCATCCAAAATCATTTCAGGAGTACACTGCGACTCTGAGTCACCCAGCACAGACGTTTAAACTTGACCTCTTGAATTCATTCAATTCTCACACCGAACACTAGACGGATGATATTGGTTATCTCCTAGTGACTGGTCAATGTACACTTTTAGCATGTTTACCTTGATTTTAATTAATGCCAAAAACCTAAACGATATATAATTTCAAGCTGCAAACCGCCATGTCTGTTTCACTAAATGAGGCAAGAAGTTTGACTGAAAAATAATAATAGTAGTAGTAGTGGCAGATTAACTTTCAAAAGACAAACGTAGACTTCATTTTTGCTAAATAAAAGATTTTCACATTTTTAAGTATAGTAAACATGATTATGAAATAAAGGTAATAAAAAATGACGGAATTAACTTAGTAACTGAATCGGTTGCATCAGTGGCTCAGTAGTAGAATCTTGGAGAGCTGGACAGGTGGTTTGGATTCGACTCCTGGCGGACATATTCATAAGCATCAAGTTGTTTACCTGTCAATAATAAGCCCAGGAAAGGATGGGAGGTTGGTAGCGAGGTTGGTTATCCCTCCTGGTAAAAAGCACGGATATTGAAACTCCAAAGCCCAAAGCTTGAACACAAGGAATGAAAAAAGTAAATAATTTGAAACTGTTCGCTTACACTGCTTCGTCCACGGTTTGATGGTACAATGCTCGTCAACCACTCATTTGACCTGGGGGTCCAATACCCGGTAGATGCACTCCTGAATATCGCCTATCCGGTAGTGGGGTCGGTAAAGAGCGAAGTTTGGGCGTGAGGCTAGCAACTCCACCTCATAACAATGAATAAAGACGCCACTACCACCGGAACTTTAAAGCTGTAGCTTGAAGCCGTATGTTCCACTCAAAACGTAAAGGAACAAAATAATAAATAATGATAATACTGCTTCGTACACTAGGACTGATCTGTGAAGTATGATGATGAATACATTTTTAGCCTTCCTGTTTTCTCCAGGATCGATTTTTGGTATTCTCTAAAATTTTTTGACATAACCAGAACCAAGATGTATTGTTTTGAAATGTTATACTCCGAAGATAGGACTAGACACATTACACTAGTTACTGACTAGTGTGGAATCAAAAATATCCAATACAGTCCTACAGGAGGTCAATCGCGAGGCCGAATAGCTCAGTGATAACGTCTCTGACTGCAGCACTGGGTGATGCGGGTTCGAATCTCAGAAGGGACATCAGTTCCTTCAAGGTTGCAGATAGGCCTTACTGATGAGTGCCAACTAGCACGAAACCTAGGTCCAAGGCTTCCGGCCGATTGCCTCCAACCACCTAATGTTATACTCCGTTATCCCTGATAACAAGTTTCTATTTCATTCGTATTATCACCGACTTTAGCCAGAAATATATTTCTCTACTATGCCTTCTACATCTTACATTTTAAGCTAGAAGTTAACCAACGCCTGTAAAAGGCATGTTGTCATGTTAGCTTAATACAGCAAGGTGAAGGTTTTCTATTGTTGAAATTTCAACTGTAAAATATTTGAATAAAAAGTGATTTTTGAAATAAAATTGTATAATATTCTGTCAAGAGTGTCGAGAACTATGAATTGCTTAGATGGTATGTTGGCCTGGTATGACTGTGGTACACTCTTTACATGTCGGTTGCAAGCGTTCTCATGTATTTCAGCCGAACTGTTTTAAAATGTTGTTACTATAAGATAATTAGAGGGTGATATATTCTGTTAAAAATGATTCGATTTTTTGGAAAGTTGTTCTTCTTTTATGAAGACGAAGAATTTGCGCGTTTACTTATTTGGGGAGCTGGTCACTTTCAATTTAACTTTACTTGTCAATTAGAGTTATTTGTGATAATATAATCAGACAGCATTTCGGTAGTATAAGAGCGATCAGAATTTCACTGGGACTCGTTTATTCTCCCCTAAAATTTCAAACAACAATGGAAAAAAAAGGAAAATATTTTTCATCACAAACGTTCATGAAAATCAAATCCTATCTCACATGATATACAGATATGATATTTGAAATTTTGATTTTACAAACTAAAGGTATTTCTTTCAAGGTATATCTCTGATCTTTTAAACAAAATATGAATACAGAAGTGTACGAACACACACACACACGCACACTGGAAAGAATATTTATTCCAATTTTCGGTATCAACTAGTGAGTGGCTCAGCTATATTTGTAAACCGATTCTAGCTAGTGTAAAAGCTAAGACATTCAGAAAACAAAAGGATTAAATAAATTCTATTTAGAATCACAAGATGAAATAAAGACGACCACTATATTTTTTTTCGTTATTTCGTTATTCCAACCTGATATGACTTGTAGTTTACAAGCACCCCATGTGTTAATTATTTGATACACACAATGTCAGCTGAAACAGATAAAGTTCATTATCAAAGAAATGAAGGGTTTGCAACACTTTTCTTTGTTGTAACTAGGCCTCTTTTGTTAAACAAGCTTGTTGCGACACAAGCAGGGTACTGGACCAATAAATGGTTGCATTCTTACTTTTCTGATAGGAAACAGTACAATGTACATAACGGGAAGTCCTCGAGAGTTTTATTTACTCTAATTGGTGTTCCTTAACGTGCTTTTGTTTTTTATTTTCTGTTTTCTTTCTTCTCATATGACTTGCTTCATTCTGATGATCTGATTGATTCCATGCCGTTTACTTCTTAGTAAGATTGTTCCAAAATGGAAAAAAACTTCATTAAGTCAGAAGAAAGGTAGTTGAGTGTCTACTTAACAAGTGTGAAGAGGGTGAGGAAATGTACAAAAAGAACATGTTAGAGTGACAGTTGTGAATTATTTCTTAAAGCAAAAGCAATCGTCAAAAATAAAAAAAATAAAATTTTACGTGGAAACACTAATGGAGAGGTTAAGACCATGGTAGAATAAGAGACTGGGTAAACCTTTTCTGTATGCAGAATTCAAGGTTTTATTGACTAATCGCCAACGCCTCCATCACTCACAAATGCTGAAACCTGACACTCTTTGTACCAAGTAGCCTCACCTTGTTGATAATCTTGAAAGACGAATCTGGCAGAGCTAAGTGACTTGAGTTCACCAAGTGCTCGAGAATTCAGCTAGTAACTGTCTTACATTGTCCTTTTGCTAGAAATTGATCCTTCACCCAACCGAAGAGAAGGCTTTTCTCAGTGATCTGTACAGGTGGTTCTTAAGGATCTCACCTAAGGTGTTACTTTTAAATTCAATGTTCATAAATAGCGGTTTTTCCTTCACCATCTAGGTTCTTTTGGGCTTTTGCTTTACCTTCATGTTTTACTCGATGAATATTGAAGGATATCCATTTTCCAGGAGGAGTCATCTGAATATCTCCAGTTCCCCATCGATTGTATCACTGGTACATACCCTTCTTATTCTTGAGGATAAGGAGTTGATCAAGTTTCTCTTTCTTCTCAAAAAGGACGTAACCACGAAAATTCGTGTACTGACCATTCCATGTAGGTTTCCTGTAGATTGATCTTTGAAGAGAACTATCAGGTAGTTTTTTTAAGAAAAACATCCAAAAAATGGAATTCCGAGTTCATCTCTGATTCTGACGTGGATTGGATAGCATGATGGCTGTCGTTGAACTCTTTAGTTATCATTTCGATGTTAGTATTCTCGTGACATATGATGAAATTAGCATCCATTTATCTTTGGTACTTATAAAAACTATCGATAGTGGGTTGTAACAGACTATTCACTAGACTTAACAAGAAGCAGTGTACAAGTAAAGGAACTAATGGCGACCCTACTGCCAGTCCATCTCTTTTTCTACAGAGCTTGTTGTTGAACTTGAACTGGACATTGAAAGTGCATCTCAGTAGTAGTTCCTTTAAGTAGTGGAAATGAACACCAACGTGTACATTATTGTCCTCAGTGAATTTGCATAAAAAACAAATAGTTTCAGTGAGAGGAACATTAGTGAAGAGAGATGTAACATCCCTGGTTATCAATTATATGAAATTTCTATCAGAAATTAGTAGGTGGTCCTGGTCAAATGGTCTTAAGCTTAATCCCTCTGAATTTCAGGTGGTTAATTCCACTTTCAGACGCAAGCGCGACTTACGTGATCTGGTTAGTTCACACGGTTCCACTTTTATAGATGGCATTGAAACTGAAACTAAATTGTATGTTACATACCTTGGATTATGTATTTCCTCTGATCTTTCCTGGACTTCCCACATCATGTTAGTTTCCAGAAAGATTCTTCTTTTAACATTCTATGTAAGGAAGCTGAAATAATCTAGTATCACTCAGTCTCTACCATTGCACTTTGTTAATTCTTGCTTCCCTTCAGTCTTCCCTGTGCTAATTAAGGAAGACTTCACTCACAGTAGGGTGAGTAGGGCATCGGTAAACCGACTGGTTAATATTTTTACAAATAGTCATGTGGATTCATGCAAGAAATTAGCGAATATTA